ATTGGATACGAAAAATACCAATGCTATAACTCTCAGGAAGCAAGCTATTCGCACGTGACTGATGGCCATTCTCACTATAAGAAAGGGATGTTATATCCCAGTGGTATACCACTGTTTCTTTCTATACAACGTGCTCTACCTTACAGACGAATGACCTAGTTTCGTGAGTAACTATGGCGACAGGAACTGGTGACTTCCTTGACTGACACCCTATAATAAGACTTATATACAGAAATTATATATTGATTTACTAAAGGATTAAAAAACGTATAGTATTACTGTATACCACAGTACTACTTCCTGTATCCTACTTAAACAATATATCAAAATTTCTAATTGGAAAATGTAAATGTTTTGGCTATATCAAACACATGTGCTATAATGCATGGTGTATGCTTCGTCGCATACACTTTAACCACGAAACTAATTTGACCGAGTAATCCGTTTATTGAAAACTCTCCAGTCTTTCCAACATATAGTGTCTTTTTGTTCCTTCAAATGGAAAACAAGAGTAATTAATTAATCTAAGATATTTGGAAGATTTTGTTTCTTTTTCCGTTTCTTTCCACCAATAGAAACTGCGACGTTATTTGGTTGGGTGCACATTTCTGAGACATTTAATTATCAACAGTGTCACAGAACACTAGATCTTAGGAGTGCGCTCATTAGTCACATTAGCATTGTCGGATCTTAGCACAAAACCGCTGCTCAAAGCAAAGGAAATGTTTTAAAGAACTTCCATTAGGCAATCTAAACAGAAAGCTGGTGGCGAATACTAATTATTGTCTCTTCACGTGTAACATCATTTAGGAGTACAGAACCTTATACGTCTGATAATGATTTATGTTCTGTAAACCAGACATGCAATTTTTAAGGGTTGGTAAGCGATAGCGTTAGGCACGTTGTACTTCTTATCTAATACAGAATTATTAATGAAATCCCTGATAGTTTATATTTAAAATTTGAAATTTTATCAGCTTTAGTTTGAATTTTCAATCCTGCAAAGGTAATTCTGAGAAAGAAAACATTCCGATAAATTTGTAAAAAAAAATATAAAAAAATTTACTTCTACAACAGCAATTAGCAGCTTCTCAATCACAACGCCCATACATACAACGGAATTTACCGAAAATTAAGGTTTCTTTTTCTTTTTTTGTTAATGTCTTTCAAAAAATTGACGAACCGTCACAACCAAACCTTTGTCAGAGACATGTGTGCATTCGTTATTTATATAAGATCCTCATGACGAAATAACCCTTTATCCAGAGCAGAGCTTGAACTAATATTAGCGTGCCAGACTGTGGAGTTAAGGGTTCATGGTTCGCGACAGAAAAACAATCACTCCGCACTATGCGGCTGTGGGTGCATTATAAGAATGACGGTCAAATCTTATTGCTCTTATTAGAGTAGACTAAGAAATGTCGGTTTTCTCTTCAGTATATATATATAGATCTAATTTCAAAATTTGGAACGGCTAGCTTAAGTGTCCATTGTTTAGCTATGCACAACTATCAGAAACAAAACCAACCATTATCAAATAAAAAATAAGTCTTTGTCTGCAAAGGAAAGCTTGCATAGTTAGGACAGGAATTATATCATTTTTGAGACCCATATGCTCCCCATAATATAGAAGCTTCTAATGCTCTAAATATAATTTGTCATATGCTCGTAATATTAAATCTTAACAGCTGATCAAGCTTGGCGTTGTTCAGGAATACTATAATCTACCCTTGCTACGTCTCAGAAGTTTTTCGGAAGTATGAATTATTATATATTCGTAATATTAAATCTTAACAGCTGATCAAGCTTGGCGTTGTTCAGGAATACTATAATCTACCCTTGCTACGTCTCAGAAGTTTTTCGGAAGTACGAAATATTGTATATTCGTAATATTAAATCTTAACAGCTGATCAAGCTTGGCGTTGTTCAGGAACAGTATACTCTACCCTTGCTACGTCTCAGAAGTTTTTCGGAAGTACGAAATATTATATATTCGTAATATTAAATCTTAACAGCTGATCAAGCTTGGCGTTGTTCAGGAACAGTATAATCTACCCTTGCTACGTCTCAGAAGTTT